GCAGCTTTACATTTAGGCGCCTCTGAGTTGACAGGGAAAGTAGCTAAGAGAAATGAAATATTTGGGTTTCCGTTACCTTTTCTGGTGGATAAAGCTGGACATTTTGCCAAGGAGGGTTGTTGGGTGGTGTTCAGTGCTATCTTGGCCTTCTGTGTCAATGGTATTATGTTATTCCCTAATATTCTGGACTTTGTAGATGTGGATGCGTTCCGTATCTTTGCTTCGAGGAATCCTATACCTACGCTGCTAGGTGACGTTTATCATTCCGTACACCTTTGTTCTATCTATGGTTTGTAAGCCATCTTCCTAAGACTGGTCTGTTCTATGATACTGCAGGTACATCAGAATGGTCTGAACGTTTGATGAGATTGTCTGCTGAGGATATTGTTTGGTTTGACAGGGATATGTTGGGTATCGAGATCATTTATAGTTGTGGAAGCTTTCCTAATGTCCCGCTAATCGGAAGGAAGGGTTGCATAAACTATAACCCGTCCATTACAATCAGGCAATTTGGGTATGCATTGAGAATCCTCCGAAGGATGAAGAGATACAGGAATATCTGTATCTCACCGGATTATTGGAGGGGGATACCTTAGCCAGAGTTGAGCATGCTTGGAGTAATGTCCACAAAAGAGGGAAGGTTTCCTTAGGGAAGAGTAATAATCGAGCCTATGACCCCTATTTGGCTTGGATTCAGAATAAAGCCGAGAAGGTGATGATGCCTTACCCATTTGCTAAGCTTGTGTATCCTCTTGTGATTGAAGAACCCACTATGGTTGACATCCAGAAGTATAATCAGGTGTGGGCTGAAAAAGAAGAGTTGAAGAAGGCTAATGAGAAGTTGGAAGAAGAGATTACAAGCTGCGGGGCGAGAAGAATGAAGCAACTTATTCTTTGAAGAGGCAGACTGAGTTGGTGAATAGATTGGGTATGGATTTAACCAAGCAAACTAGTTCTCGAGAGCGTTTGGGTTTGGATCTTAAAGTTGTTAGTGATGTTCTCGCTTCCAAGAAGAAAGAATTAGACAAAGCTTATCTAGAGATTTTTAAGTTTAACGAGCAGTGGAATGTAACTCTCACCAATAACAAAGCATGCGAAGATGGGTTGAAACAACAGATCAACAAGCTGAAGGCTCAGATAAGAGCGAAAGATGAGAGGATTTTAGATGATGCCTCGCTCAGACGACACAGTGATTGTAAGCTGCACGAAGCACTTGCGACCTTGAAGGACTACGAGCCGAGGGCTGACTCGAAGAGGCGCAAGCTGGAAGAAGTCTTTGGTGAAGGTGCTTGGGAAGACCATGTTGAGAATCTACAACGCACTATTAGCCAGCAAGAGTTACTCATCCAGGGGTTGCTCACTAGACCGGATCATCCTGAGAGCGCAAGAATTGTTAGAGGAGTTTCGGGCCTGGCGTAACACGATGTTTTTTGTTTCCTTGTAGCTTGTTGTTGCTATTGTATTGACCATCACCAGGATTGTTGGTTGAGGTCATTCTGTTTGTACTCAGTGTTATGCCTGTACTCTGCCTGTTTGGCTGTTACATCTTTATATATGAGGTTCTTTCCCTATGCTTGTTTGTGGGTTCTCCATTGTTGTCCTGTTATTCTCGGAACTAAAACGGGGGGGGGGGGGGGGGGGGGGATTTCCCTGTTGCATATATACATGTTTCCATTTTTGCATCTTGCATTTTCATTTGCATCGCAGGTGTTCTCAGTGGCTTCTATTCCTAACTCTGCTTGGTTTTATTCGTAGTAACAGGATTAAGGAGTTCAGTTTCCACAGGTATTCAACTCGAGGGAATCAACAAAGAGTAATGGATCAGGTTCAAGCCGAGTTGCAGGAAGTCAGGGCTCGCATGGCTCAATTCATGGAGTTGATGCAGACTGTTGCTAGTGGGCAGGAACAGTTAAGAACTTTGGTCCAGTCGTTGATAGCACGAGTTGACGAATAGGGCGTTTTGCATAGAGGAGCTGGTGTTATTCCTCCACCGATCGGTGGATCTATCCCACAGGGTATCCCTACTGTTGTCATACCTCCGGGCGGAGGAGCTGCGAATAAGAATGGTAACGTTGCTGATAATGGAAGTGTGTGCGTGTGCACGGGGCTGCTAGCCCTCATTGGGAAGATAACCAGGATGATGTGTTTTCCATGAGAGATATGTGTCGCGGTGAAATTTGGATACCAAACTATTGATTAGTTTGAATCTTCAATTCAATTTGCAACCGAACTTTGATTTGTCCAAAGGAAGGGATAAAGATCGAAATTCCCACAATGCAATGCAAATGCAAGGTTTAGAGAGTTTTAGGTTCGGGGGTTGGTTAAACTTAGGGAAGGTGCTAGCATCCTAAGTTTCTGTAGTACTCTACAGGAACCTCTTCTTTTATGTTTGTTTATTTGCTATGTGTTTATCTGCTTAAAGGTTGAAAGACCTAGGGGTTTATTTCTAAGTATACTCGATAAGATATCGCATCTTATGCCTACATATCCTTACAGGAGTGGAATCAGAGTATTTGTAGTTCCCCTAAAAGGTATGACGAATTCTTTGACTGTGGTCAAAGTTCCTATGGGTTTAGAGTAGTTGATTGATTGATTTTAGGAGAAGAGGTGAGTTGTCATTTTAAGGGAGATTTAACCGCCACAAGTTGTAGGAAAATAGTCTTTCCATCATCTTAAGAGAAGGGCTCAAGTACTCGGATAGGGATCGACGAGGTACGCCTCTATCTATCTTAAGGCAAAGTTCCTACGAGTTGATTGTATTGTTGTGGGGTGGAGATTCTATCTCGCTTAAGATGATTTGGCATCTTTCTCTAATGTGTTTGAATATTTTTTGTTCTGAGTTGTATTGTTTTGTTTGTATCTAAGTTGTAAAGATAAAGAACAGTCCTTCCTATGGGGTAGGATCTATCCTAAAGGATCGACTTGAATGGGGTCAAGGATCATGGGGAATATGATGCGAATGATGTGCACTACACACGATTGTTGAATCATGTGTAGGTTTTTCCTTTGGACGAAATGCAATGCGAGAAAATGTAAATGACGGTAATGTAAAACATACACACGCATGAAAGTGCTAAGTGCAAGTGAGTGAATGTGAGTGCGTGAGCGGATCAGAGTGGGAGACGGAAGCGTACACGATTAGATTAAGTTTTACGAGTTGAGATTGATTTTAAGAAAAATGTTGAATTATAAAGATGATTTTTTTTAGTGAAATCGAATTACTTATGTTGGGTAAAAATAGTTCCTAGTAAATAAGTTATTTATTAAATAAACCGGTTGTCGGTTATTAAAAGGAAGCTTTATTATTTTATTAAGGAGCTTTTTATTAAATAAAAGGTTTTAGTAAGTAGAAAAGTTTTATTAGTGAGATTAAATTATAAATGAGTTAGATTTTTTTTAAACAGAAATGATTTCTTAAATAAATAGGTTTTGAGGAAAAAGTTTTTTATCAATAAATATAAGTTAATTAAATTATGAAATGGGTTTATTTATTAAATAAAAATGGTTTTTGTTATTATAAATTCTTTTTGTTAAATAAACTATTAAATGAAAGATAAACTAAACTAAATGAAATAGTTTTTATTATAAAATAAATTGTATATAAAAAAAGTTATTTAGGTGAGGAAAATAAATAAATTGAGTTTTACATAAATAGTAAATTAATTAAGCTAATTACGAAGGTTGATTAATAAGCTAATTTAGAAGAAGGATAAGTTAATTTAAATTAAAATAGCTTTTAGTTGAGTTAATAAAAAAGGGTGGCTGATTGAAGATAAAAGGATTAGTTAGTTAATTAAATTAGGGTCATTAATTATTAATAAAAAATGGTAGATTAAAGATTTTATTAAATAAATGGTTGTAATAGCTAATTAGGTTGTCTAACTAATTAATTACTAAGGTTAGCGGGTTAATTGATTAATTAGACTGATAATTAAAGGTTAGCATGGCGCAGGGATTACGTAGGGTAAAGCAAAATGAGGTGTATCGTAGGTATGCGGCGTGTGTCGCCTGATCTGATCCGTTGGAGATCAGAAGGTCGCGTGCGCGAAGGTGCGTGGTAAGGTGTGTGGGAGCGTGAGTGCACGATTACAACATAAATAAAAAAACCCTAACCCTAACACTTCCCCCTTTCCCCAATTCGATCTGAGATCTCAGCGCTGTTCCGCTTCACCTTTCTCCGTCATCTCTCTTCTTCTTTCTTCTCACTTTCCTTCGTCTTTGTTCCTTCTCTTTCTTCCTCTCTGCTTTCTCGTTCAACTTTCTTCCCTCCGCTTCTTTCTTCTTCTCCTTCTTGCCTCTAACCTGTTTTCTTCATCACTACACAAATCAAACAATAAAACAAAATGTTAAATGCTAAAAATCTCACTGCTTAATGGTTTTTGCAGATTTTGATGATGGATTCACGACGAAGGAGGTGTAAGGGTTCCGACGACTGTAGGGGTGGTAACGGCGGCTCGTGATGGGCGAAAAGGGGTGATTCGCAGCTTCGAAGGTGGAGGTTTGGGTTGCGATTTCGCGGTGGAGGAGAGATAAGTCTTTCTCCCTCACGATTTTCTAGGGTTTGATTTTGGGGTTTTTATGGATGTACGAGTCCGAGTCTTCTCCCCCTCCCGTTGAATGTTGTATACTCTACTTTTATAGGCTTTAGTGAATTTAATCATATGATAAACTCCTTTCCATTCTTGCACCAACACGTCTGAGTATTTTTAGAAGGAAATGGAAGCTCTAATTTCCGTTTTAAACATGCTTAAATTATTGCCATTCTTGATGATTTCCAATGAGGATGATAATTTGGTTTCCCTATTTGAGCCAGATCACGTTAATTCCTTTCCTTTTCAAACTCAACAAGTTTAGCTATTATAATTGATATTGATTTGATGATTGCTCTTGAAGGACTTTGATATTTTGTTGGATTTTGTTTAACCGTTCCATTTTTGTCTTGCTCAAGAACGATCCCTTTTTTTTACGGGCATACTGTCGAGCTTGTTGTTTTTAGAAAGTTATCTTCCTAACTTTCCTTGTCTTCTCTTCAGGGGTGCTTTGCTTACATGATGATAGAAGCGGTAAGGTAGTCTTTTAATGGCCACAACACTGATGACACGCCTTGGTGATGCTGATGGATAGTGCAAATGCGATGACAATAGAAACTGATGCTTCCGTGTAGAAGGGGCTGAAGGTGAGGCAAATAAGAGTGCAGAAACTGCTCCTAATAGTGCAATTGTGATTGTGAGTTCTTTTGGTGTCAATAACTGATCCAGTTTTCCCAATATGGCCACCGCTACAAATGCCCCTGCAGAAGGCCATAGAATACCGCTGAAGGAAAGAGTAGAAAACGATTTGGGATTTTTCCAGTTCTCCCAGATGGATGGTGAAGCAACGTCGCTTGATGCCTTAACAATCACATTCCTTCTAGTGTTACTAAACCCCCAATAACCTAACACCAAACCCTTCTTCATCTTGTTGTTCTGTGTAATGACGAAGCTGTTAAAAGATGGTGGTAATGATAATGGTGCCATAAATTTGGAAGTACCGCCGCAAGCAATTACAAATGACATTTTTGAGTAGTTGATTATTCATCAGAAATGCTTCTCTAATCTGTACCTAATAGTACTATACTAAAAATGAGTGACATCTAAGGGTCGCAAGATTAACTAGAAAAGACACGTCCATTGAGAGAATGTTGGATTTAGAGATTAGCCTTTCAAAACCCTCAAAGGTCCCCCACCACCACAATACTCCAAAACAAGGTAAATCCTATCATTGGTCTCTATAGCTTCAAAAGGTCGAATGATGTTAGGGTGATGAATAATTCTGAGAATAGTAATCTCTTCTTGAATTAACTCTTCTGAATCATTGCTGCTTTTTTTGACAGGTTGTGTTTGGTCTTCTTCTTCCGTTTTGCGGCGGTATGCACCTATTCAAATCAACCTCCCTCGAAACGTTGTTTTGGCGATGACAGCTATGGGCGGAATCGGATTAGGCCGACAATTGGCATGTTGTGGTGATACTGGCTAGTATAAAAAAAATTATCATGTGGTCATAATGTTTTAATCCTGTGTTCAAACTTCTGCAGGCTAAATGACACCGCTTAGAGGCCGTGAAGAAACCGTGATGACGGCAGCATGCTGGAAAGATGATTTATTGCTAATAAAACAAACAATTGCTGCTGTGGAACTTGTTGTTGTGGCTGTTATGCTGAGTTTGATTATTTTGCAGGAACCTGAAGGCATTGCAAACGAGGCTGAGATTATTTCAATTACTTCTTAATTCTTATCCTTCAATCTATTTCTGCAATGGTTGTCCTGGTTATTAGTTTGTGTTGCTTTGACAGGTTTTGGTAAACTCCAATCCATGGATAGTACTTTGTGGTAATACCGAGGCAAAAATTGTGGAGTTGTAAAGTCTGCAGGTCTCCTGACAGCGATGAGGTCCGCGAATTCTCTTGGCGGAAAAAGCTATGTTGCACGGTTCAGCATGGATAATGGTGTTGTTGGCAATATCGACTGTCTAAAGAAAAGCCTATCAGACTCGTCTTGTCAATGGGTTTATTAATCTTTGTAAGTAGAGTGTTGTTTGTGATTCCCATTATCGTAACCAGTTGGCATTGAAAAGTCACTCCTTGTTGCCTGATTATACGGTAACTCCTTTTCTGCAATTGGTTTCCTGTGTCGTGCAGGTGGCTTAAGGGCTTTGAGCTTGATACTTAAATTCAGACATAAGGGTGTTGCCGACGGGTCCAGTTTTCCCGTGTTGAACTTCTTCCTTGATTATGTAGATGGCTTCTTTTAGAGTGTTAGGAACATTGGGCTCAGCAAACTCGTGGATTAATCGCTGATGGTAAGTTCACTCTTCTAATTTTCTTTACAGAATTTATCAAAAGTTGATTTTACAGTGTGATGGTCTGCTGTGGAATCATTGTGTTTTTTCGTGACTAACGCTCCGATTGCTTTCAGGCGATGAGGTATTATGAAGCACGAGTTGAAAAGTTCAGATGATGGCTAACCAAGTCGTGGATATATTTTGCTGAGCAAACTATATTCAGTAAAGAGCAAGAATCAGGAGCCATGTGGTTTGTCGTTGCGCCTCGTGTTCAGTTTATTTGGATAGCCTCCCCTTGTAAAGTAAAGCTAACAGGTCTTGTATCGGGATTGGGATCCTTACTGGATTTATCTTGTAGATGGTGTTGAAATTGATGTAGGCTCACCGGGTGATTCTCTCTTTCTGTTTTGCAGCATATGTGGGTAGGCGGAAGTTTGGAAGACGTTGACGCGGTGCACAAGTTCTTGGAGCAGTTTGGCAATGATTTGCTTCTGAAGGTTAATTAATATGAAGGTTAATTAATCGCTTCTGTGTTTTGGTTTGCAGGAGGATGGCGATGCCTCACCGTAGCTGGAGTGCGAGTCTCCTAAGAATGGAATGATGTCGGTAATACCAGGAACCAAGCTTGAATAAATTATGCAGGAGCTACGGCGGATAACGATGGAGGCAGCAAACTTCTCGCGCAGACTGCTTATTTGGTGAAGGCATGCTCTTGGCCATCAGAACGTGAATGGTTGATGGAGCATGCAGCTGCTTTGAATTTGACTCTGCGGCCTTGAAATTCATCCACTCTGTTATAAGATTGGTTTACCTTGTAATTTTATATTTTATGAAATAGTATTTGTAGCACACTTATGATTGGATCTCAATGTTTGAATCCAATGAACTATAGCTTGTATTTGATCATAAATTTAACCTTCACACATATTTGAAAGTGGAAATGCACATGAATTTTGTTGAGGACCTGGACTTGGGTGAATGCCAATATTCTTGGGTTAAGCATAAGTTCAGTCTCTTGTTTATAATGAATTTTGACTACTTGCACCTTGAACTTTATTTGAATTGACTTAAAGTTTTGAAGCTCCCAGATAGTCTTGAAAGTGGAGCATTGTATTTGACTTCATCCTTTTGCACCATGGTCATGATAATACTAGAATGATTCTTGGATTCATCACTTGTACTTTGTATGAATGGGAATTTCTATTGAAATTTATGAACCCCACCACGACTTCATTTTGAATTTGTTGTTACAGTATGCATCTTGTGCTTCAACTCGGGACGCAAAACCATGAATTCTGAAATTAGGTTGTGACTTCGTAAAGAAAAAAAGAGCTTGGAAATCCTTTAACACACTTACAAATTATCATGAAAATATTATCACGCCAACGTCTTAGATCTTGATTTTGGTGAACCACGAAACTCTTAACAATGGTCAAACTCCATCCAAGACAAGCATCCTATTGCAACCAAACTTGAAATACCGTGGCCCAAATCATGATACACTAAAACCCAACAAATTGAATTTTGAGATCCATGTGCCATACCCTCGAGAACAAGCATATAATGATACAAGGAGAGAGAACCACAGCCTGGTCATAACTTTGATGTGAGATATGGTCATAAAATCCATCTGATCCGTCTTCAAATTCATGCTCTCTGAATAACCCTGATATGCTTGTCTGTAAGAATACGTATCATTTGTCTTTGAAATTCGTGTACCTGCACACCTGTTAGTCATGATAAATACATAAAAAAAAACAAAGAAGGTGGGATCTTAAGGTCAAAAATTAGGGTGCGACAATATGAAGGGTGGTTTACCGACTAAAGTTGACCGAAGGTTTAAACTGATCGAGGAGAAGATGAAATCTTTTGAGAATCAGAACTCTTTGGGTCTTGATATGTCAGATCTTGGTCTAGTTCCTGGGGTCAGGATTCCTCCCAAATTCAAGGTGCCCGATTTTGACAAATATAAAGGGACGATCTGTCCAAGAGTGCATATTTGGGAGTATTTCAGGAAGATGTCTGCTTACTCCAACAATAAAAAACTGTTGATGCATTTTTTCCAAGACAGACTGGCAGGGGCGTCTTTGGAGTGGTATATGGGACTTGAGAGAACTCATATCCGCAGCTGGAGAGAATTGGCCGAAACTTTTGTGCGTCACTATCAGTATAATAGTGATTTGGCCCCAAACAGGGTAGAATTACAGAGCTTGTCGCAAAAAAGTACTGAGAACTTCAAGGAATACGCCCAAAGGTGGCAGGATCTAGTTGCAAGAGTATAACCCCCTATGGTCGAAAGGGAGTTGATCGACCTGTTCATGGCCTCGTTGCCTGGTGTGTACTTTGAAAAGTTGATAGGCTACATGTCTGTAGGGTTTTCGGATCTGGTAATTGCTGGTGAGAGAGTTGAAAGTGGGATTAAGTCTGGAAAGATTCCAAATGGTGGTGGATCCTCTTCGGAAGAAACAAAGAAACCATATTTAGCGAACCCTAATAGAAGGGAAGGGGATGCAAATGCTATTTCTCACAAGGGTAAAGGTAGAGCTCAGTTCCATTATCATCAATAAGTTGCTACAGTAAATATCCCGACCACAGCTCCGCAACAAGTCAACGCTCCACGACCTTATGCTGCTAGGTGCAGAATGCCTGATAGACAGTTCGCGAATCCTCTGATGTTGTATTCTCAGTTGTTACAACATCTGTTGCAGTTACAATTGGTTCAGAAGAGGACTCTGGCTCCTCTCACTGGTACACCACCTCTTGGCTACGATGCGAATGCTCATTGCGATTTTCACTCAGGCGCCCCAGGCCATGATATTGAGCATTGCAAAGCCTTCAAGCACAAAGTCCATGATCTGCTTGATTCCAAAGCTATCAACTTCACCAACGATGGGCCCAATGTGAATTGAAACCCGATGTCGAATCATGGGGTGGCAGAAGCCAATGCCATTATTGAGGGGGAGAAGCTAAATCGAGTAAAGGATGTTGGAAATTTGAAGACTCCGCTGGGGTTTGTGAAGGCTAGTTTGTTGAAGAATGGGTTGTTTCCAGGTTGTTCTTTTGACTGCTCAGAGTGCGAAATGCATCCAGATGTTTGCAATCTTTTGAGAAAGGGTATTCAGAGAATGATGGATGAGGGTTGTTTGCAATTTGATAGAGTTGTGAAAGAAGATGTTGAGTATAAAGTGAGTAATGATAGAATTGAAGTTGCTACGATCTCCATTCTATATCGGACGATCAATATTCCAGCGCCTGCTAGACCAGCTCCGGTTATCATTATTGTACCTGGACCTGTGCCTTACGAGAGCACTAGAGCTATCCCGTGGAATTACGGTGAGAGGTGTTCTGTAATGGGCAAAAGCAGGAAGGGACAACTCTACAGATGGAAGTTCGTCGGTTGAGAATATAGTTGGGGCCGGAGGTATCACTAGAAGTGGTAGGGTCTTTTCACCACCGGAGGTTAATGCTGATAAGAATGACAAAGATAAACGTAAGGCCGTGATTGAAGAGAATATCCAACCATGGGTCGGTGCTGATGATCTTTCGAAGGATGAAGAGGAATTTATGAGACTCATTCGAAAAAGTGACTACAAGATTGTGGATCACTTAAATCAAACTCCTTCGATTTCTATCCTATCATTATTGTTGTGTTCGAAGGGACACTGCAATGCATTATTGAAGATCTTGAATGCAGCGTACGTACCCCGGGAGATTTTTGTTAATCAGTTGGAGGGGG